GGTCATCAATGAATGCAAAAGAGAAAAGAGGGTAGGGTGACGAAATAGAGGGGGAAATTCCAGTTCTCTCCGGGGGTCGAAGGAATGTGTTTACCTTCTGGTCATTTTTCTTGTCTTCCTGTCTAAAGAAATGTCTTAAAATGTATCTTTTTTCAAAAGAAAAAAAAAGGAAACTGACCATATAACCGGTAACTCGAAAAATAGGATGACCATATAAGCGGTGATCTTTAACACGTGTTTCCTATTAAGTTAGACGGGACCTTAGAAAATTGACCATATAAGCGGGGTGACCATATAGGCGGTACTGACTGTATATATATATATATATATATATTGATTTTTATTTATTTATTTATTTTCTCTTCATTTTGTTGATTGAAAAATTTTTGACCCTGTTCATCTAAAAATAGTTTTAGCACAAAATAAACTTTTGAACAAGATAATTTCAAACAGTATAAGAAATATAAATTTTATCATGGTATCCAAAAGTTTGCCATGCCTGGTTTTAAATAGCTAAAGTTCTAGCAATAGTACATTTTACAAGAAACAACGTATAAAACATAACAGAATGTACTTTCCTGTATTTTAATGAAAGAAATTTATTCCAGTCTGAGACGTACTATACAACCTAATCAAGACAATGTGAGGCGGAAAGAGAATTCATTACGAATATGGATATTAGAAGCCAAAGGAATGTCAGCAAAAAAGTGGTAAGCCTTGTTTTTGTGTTTTCCATCATTTTACAATAGTAATATTCCAACTGTAAAATAAACATTTTTGTTCTAGTAAATATTACTGTGAACTTTGCTTGGACAAGACTTTATATGCAAGGACTTCTTCCAAACAAAAGGGAGAAATGTGCTTCTGGGGAGAACACTTTGAATTTAAGTAAGTTAAGATTTCAATTTTAGCTGATTTCAATAGGATTTCTTTGTCTACTAAAAAAAAAAAATTTTTTTTCATATCCGTATTGTATTTAATTTTAAGAACACTTTGTATGTAATTATTTTGTGTCAATTTGATATGTTTACAAAACAAAAGTTGTCAAATCCAATTTTACTTTTAGTTAATATAAATTGAAGTTAAATTGTTATTAAATACTATTTAATTTTATTTTACCATTCTATGTATTCAGTAAGTAGGTATACTTTGTAATGAAGTGTTTAGCAAAATTTATTTTAAATACAAAAGTAAGTACTAACAAACATCATCAAAGAAACTGTTAATTAGCTAGTCATTATTTTTTATTACTGAAGATGCAAACATAAACTCAAATTAGCTATGATTTCCAGTATTCCTTCCTACTTTACTCATTATTTATTAAAAAAATCTGGTCACAAGAAAAACATCTTTTTGTGAGTCAATGTCTTACCACGCATTGACTTGTAGGAATGTTTCCTGGTGTATCATGACTTATACAGGAAGTTTTGGATCTAGACTTTTATTTGTTTATCAATTTAGTATTTTTTTATTTTATCTATTGCCTTATTAGACAATGTCATTCTCATTAATAAGAACAACCAATCTAAACATTATTATGAAAAACATGGCTGTAGACTTTTGAATTTAATTATCTTAATAACTCATCTATTAACTATATAGTTTTTAATTAATAATTAACTTTTTTAATGTGTATTTAATTTGTTTGCAGTAGCTTACCAAGTGTTGGAAACATCTGTGTAAATTTATTTCGAGAAGCTGACAAGAAAAAAAGAAGAGATAAAAATGTTTTAATTGGTATGTAAAAGTTTTTTTATTTTTTAGTTATTTGTTATTTTCTTTATAGTTACTTAGTAATATTTCATTTAATAAACAAGTACAAAACCCTTGTTTTAGCTTAACTTCTTGGAAAATCATTCCTAAACTATACAATTATGCTCATTTATATATATACATAATCCAATTGTAGTGAAATCTCTAACAATAATAAAGTAATAAGGCACATGAATTTTTCAAATCACTTACATGTGAACTTGATTAATTTCATTTGCCAAATTAAAATGGTTTTATTCAATAAATTAAAATAAAATATTTTAAATTATAGTTCTTTGTGGTTTTCATCAATCAATGACTTTTTCTGTAACATTTCAAAAAGTTGTTCTAGTGTTAGTTCTAACCCAGTGAATATTATTGCGTGTAATAAAGATATGTTTTTCATATTTTGTTAACAACAAGTTTTGCATCTTGATTTCACAGTTAAAAAGTGGGGGAAATAATCACAGAGTAACATTTTGATGTTGTGGTGCATTTATTGTATTACTTTTTTTGAAATTATTGATATTCAAAAAATGTATCAGCTTGTTAGGAGTGTACATTCCTTAATTTGTGTTTGTCAACTATGAATATTTTTATGTGTTATGAAGCTCAGTGACCAATTATCCAAATATTTATATGAAATCCCTAATTTTAGACAGTGTCAAAATATTAACATGGAAATCAGCGCTAAATCTTTATCAGTTAGTAAATATGGTAGAGATTCAAGAAAGGCATTCGAACCTTAATCAAGTTCTAGCTAAACTTTCAGATATAGTTAATAGTAATATGTCTATATATAATAATGATTGAAGTGAGTTAATTTTTATTTTTTATCAAGTTAAAATGCAATATCAGTTATCTTTTATCAATTCTCAAACAAAAATAGTATTTACATTTTCTGTAACAAATGTTTGATCTTTTATTCTGCACAACGGATTAACTGCTTATTGGTATTATATTTAATTTAAATTCAGATTCTGTTAAATAGTTGGTGAGTTACATCTCATGTACTTTCTCTGGTAAACTTCATTTTGCTAATATGCTAAGTGTATTATTTATTTACAATTTGATCTTAAAATTCAAAAGAAAGTTAGGTTATAATTAAAAATTCCTTTTTTTGTCTTTTATTCTGAAAATTAAAAGTAATAGGGCAAAATGTGCAATTCTTTTAAACAATGTAAACAGTCGTTAAATAAATTCCCTTGATTGTAAATGCAATTTATGATTGAAAGTAGAAGAGCTTTTCTGTAAAGTTTCTACATTTTCACTTTATTTCTGTGGTCTGGAATTTATCATTTTTGAATATTTCTTACAAATAAATAACTTCCTGAATTGTGATTCAAATTCGGAAAATTAGTTAATAATAAATTTTTCTGTCCCATCAAAATATATTTCTCATTTTAATAAATTCATTTATTTATATTTTGCTCTTAAAATATTGTTAAATGTTTTAATTATTTAATGTTTTTTTTAGGTTCTGTAAATATTCCTGTGTCTAGTATTAATGGAAAACATTTGCTGGAAAAATGGTAATTCCTTTTTGTCCATTTCTTTTTAATATCTATAAAATTAATATATACAGCGCATGAGAGAGAAAAAGATATTGGCATTACATAATTTTAATTAAATTTGGACAATCTTTTAAAAATTTGCTTGTACCTTATTGTATGTTTTTCTTTATTGATATTTTTATTTGCTTTATAACTGACTTTGCTTTGTAACTAACTACACATTTTACATGTACATCTAAGATCAAAGTATTTTTTGTGAACTGAAAAAGATTCTAAAATGAATGCAAAATCGTTAACTATCAAAATTGATCATGTCTATTTATCAATCTTACAAATTTTGACTTATTAATGTAAAACTCTTCTAATTAAGAGTTTTTTCTGTTGTAGTATCCCATAAAAATTAATTCCGCAGAAAGTAATACGTATAAAAATATTTTTTGACATTGCAATTTTATTTTAAATTCAAAACTTTTGTAAAATGCCTAGTTGTAATTTTCGAATCAAAAGTCTATTTTTCCTTTTCCCTAAAACAATACTTCTCTGAGTGGGATTTTAGATTATCTCTTCTATATTTATCAAATATTTTCTGCAGTTTTTTATTATAAATTCCTTTCGATGCTTTTTTCTTCCTCATGAACTATATGAAATGTTTTGGGGAAGATTTATAACCTATTTTAAAATGTTGAAAAAGTTTTAATTCTGTATTCTTTTAAAATTCTCATCAAATATAACATATATACGTCTGTTTAATAGAAGAGCAAACTAAAAAAAAAAATTCCGTGGAATGTGTCAAAAGAAATAAGTTTTAATGTGAAATCTAATTCTGTTTGTCAACGACAATCTCACCTTGTCTTCTTATGTTATCAACAAACTTTTGGAGATAGAGTTTAATTTTGTCCCTCAATATTATTTGAAAATCAATACAAGCTTTCTTCTAACATTAGGAGAAATAGTATTAAGCTGGAACACCTTTATAGTTTTTCTTTAAAGTGTAAAGCCATAAGATTTTGCAATCTGTAATTTTGATTAGGTAGTTTATTGCATGTCCAATTTTTCCATTACCTTCATCTAAACAAGTGGAAATAAATTTGTATATTTAAAAGTTCTGTTAATGCTAACTAAAACGTTTCAAAAGCAAACAATTCTATATGATAACTTATATGGTTTGGTAATCTCTTATGTTAAAATTGCCTTTACTAATATTTCTTTTTTGGGGGTTTGAGAGGGTGAGCACAACTAATTTACAAACTATAATTTAAACTATTACTTTTTATTTGAAAATTATTTCCTACACAAAATAATTTATGAACATGTTTTTTAGGTATCCTGTTACTACGGAAAAAGGAGCAAGTGGAAAGGATAATCCTTCCATTCGAATAAAATCTCGCTTTCAAACTGTAGAAGTTTTACCACTTATTGTGTATAAAGATCTCTTACAAGTGAGTAGTTTGGTTTTGAAACAAAACAAATTGTTGTTGTTTTTTATATGAGCAAATTTCCTTGTTATCTGTGAATTTGTGTTAATTTTTAAATTGTTTTTTCTTTTCTTCTAGTATGTAAAGTCTGAATATAAAACTTTATGTGAAATGCTGGAACCTGCTATCAGTGTTCGTGCAAAGGTAAAAAAATTATTCAAATTTAAACACTGCATGATTTACAAGTTTCTTTTATTTGTTTTAAAATTATATTTAATTGTATAATATTCAGGGTGCGTAGCGATTTTAATAAGTGCTTAAAGGTGCTTCTTTTTGATTTTCGTTTTTTAAAAGCCCTTAAAGGTGCTTTTTTCATTGGGTGTTTTTAAAAAGTGCTTAATTTTTCCTTTTTCAAAATGAGATTTCTCCTTTATTATGTTGATTATCGCTTCGAATTATGCAAAAAGACACAGCTCACATTGTTCTATTCAACGTTTTCATAATTAATTCAACTTAAATCTATTTTAGCGTATAGTCTGTCCGTAGCGTGTAAAAACGCCATTTGTTTTACATGATTCAAAATTTCATGATTTTTGACAATTGTCAAAAACAATGCGAAAAGTTTTTTTTTTTTAGACATGACGATTAAAACAAGATAAAACCGTTGATTGTCAAAAACTTTCCAACTAAGTTGTGATATTTTTTAAAGTGCTTAAAAGTATTTTTTAAGTGCTTAAAAGGTGCTTATTTTTTGTTGAATAATTTGGCTATGTATAAGTATCATTTATTTAATAATATAATTATTGTATTATTTATTAAGTATAATGTATTTTAATAGGAGGATGTTGCAACCACCCTTATTAATATTATGCAGAAAGAAAATATGACTAAAGAATTTTTAGCAGAACTAGTTATGTNTTTTTATTTTCGTTTTTTAAAAGCCCTTAAAGGTGCTTTTTTCATTGGGTGTTTTTAAAAAATGCTTAATTTTCCCTTTTTTAAAATGAGATTTCTCCTTTATTATGTTGATTATCGCTTCGAATTATGCAAAAAGACACAGCTCACATTGTTCTATTCAACGTTTTCGTAATTAATTCAACTTAAATCTATTTTAGGGTATAGTCTGTCCGTAGCGTGTAAAAACGCCATTTGTTTTACATGATTCAAAATTTCATGATTTTTGACAATTGTCAAAAACAATGCGAAAAGTTTTTTTTTTTTAGACATGACGATTAAAACAAGATAAAACCGTTGATTGTCAAAAACTTTCCAACTAAGTTGTGATATTTTTTAAAGTGCTTAAAAGTATTTTTTAAGTGCTTAAAAGGTGCTTATTTTTTGTTGAATAATTTGGCTATGTATAAGTATCATTTATTTAATAATATAATTATTGTATTATTTATTAAGTATAATGTATTTTAATAGGAGGATGTTGCAACCACCCTTATTAATATTATGCAGAAAGAAAATATGACTAAAGAATTTTTAGCAGAACTAGTTATGTCTGATGTTGAAAAAATTGGTACAACTCTTTTTGCAATTTCAAATTAATTATTCTTATTTCATTGTCTTTAAAAATTATTTTAAAACTTTTTTTTTTGAATGTAGGAGATCTTCACTTGACTTTTAGAGGAAACTCTTTAGCTACCAAAGGCACAGAAGCTTATATGAAACTTTTAGGAGATAAGGTTTGTATAACTTTTTTAGAAATCAGTATCATGCATCATTTATTGGGGATATGATTAAATTTTTTGAACATTAGTTTTTTTTTTTTTTTTTTTTTTTTTTTTTTTTTTTTTTGCCTAAAATAACCATTTCCTGAGATAACTCAACATTAGTCTTGATGATTATCAAATTTTGTTAGTTTTGTGATTTTAAATTGTTAAAATAACACTTTAAGATTTTTTAAGATTGCAAATGTTTGTTTTTTTATCTGTAATTGAATACAAATTTCAAAGTATCTTCCATAAGTCACATTTTTGACAAATAAATGGATAAAAAATAAGTATATACTATAAAAATTTAATAGATGGATTATAAAAAATTGTACATTTAATTTTTAATTTATAGTATATGAATCAAATGATAAATAACAATGATATAAATTTAACATCTAAAGTTATAAGCTTTTGATTGTTAATATTTATACAATGGGATATATTAAACCTTATTTATTCATTGAGAGAAGTATGAGTTATGGAATGTCACTATTTCTAAGGGATGTTTCATTTTGGGTAAATAAGTTCTACTACCTCAAGGCAATCTAGTAATGTTTATTTTTTGTATATATTCTATTTTTATTTAGCCTCTAACTTAGTTTTAAATACTTTAGGGTTCTTTAATTTGAGTATGTAGAGTTTGAGTTTACAACAGTATAGTCTTTTTTGCAATTGAACTTAAACATCACATACCTCGTCTTTAAAATAAAAGATAGAAGAATAGAAAAAAGAATCTGTTCATCTTTAGGAACATGTTAGAATGGAAACATGTTTCTAACATTGATATGATGAAGATATCTTTTTCATCAAATTTGAAAATGTATACTGAATTTATAGAAAAAAAATCTTTATTTTTCTATTTTTACTGTCATTTTCACTATTTTTATCTCTATTTGAAATTATATGGTACAAAATATCATGTAATGATAACTCATTAAACATTGCCCTCGTCTCATATAAATACTCTTGTATGGTTTTAATTAATATACTGGGGTTCTTAAACTCCATTTAAAATACATCAATATTTGTACATTTTATGTTCCATTTTACATGTACTAAAGAACTATCTATTGGAATTTTTCTAATAATTTTTAAATCATGTTTGTAATTTCTTATTTTTTTTCTACTATTGATTATCAATTCCAAATGAAATTTTTAAGCAATTTATTTTTATAAATCTTTTTTAGTATTTACAAGACACTTTGGGGCTATTTTTGCGAATGGTACTGGATTCTAATGACGATTGTGAGGTTCGTAATGTTTTACTTATAGTTTTATATTACTAATAATTTTATTGTGATGTGTTTTATTGTGAATTATAATTCTTATAATTTTTTGTTTTGTATTTATTTCCGAACTCTTCGTTAAATGCTTAACTTAAAAATTTGTATACTATTTTTTAATGGCTGTAGAAGTTTTTCCAGGAACTAATGTACTTCATTTTTATTCATGTCTTTAGGTTGACCCCATGAAAGTTACCAACAATGCAGCATTGCTTAGACAGCAGTCACATTTAATGACATATGTTGAAATGGTTTGGGTTAAAATTATTAACTCTGCTTCTAACTTTCCACAGTAAGTAATTTTTTTTACTTCCATTAATTACAAAGGAAAAGCTTCATATTAAATATAAAATTTTGAAATTATAGTGATAATTATGCATAGTTTTTTAATGAAGTTCTTTCTTCTATGAACTTTAAATATCTATATATTATATCTTTAATAAATTTTTTTATTTATATATTTGAGTTCTAAACATATAATAAAAAAATTTTCATCAAAAATGCATATAAAAAAAATTTAACTTGCATTAACAGTAAAGTATTAGGGTACTTTAAATTTGTTTGCTTTTTTCATTAAAAAAATTTATTTTAATTAATTCTGTTCTTTAACCTTGTATATATTTTGAAAATCATAATGACTTACCATAACTTTTTAGCTAGTTCTTTTTAATTTAATTTTGCTACCTAAGATTTATTTTATTTAAATTTATTTTTAATTGTGTAAAGCTAAAAGCCAGTGCAATTACTATTTTATAGGCTGTAATTTAGATTTGATTATTCAAATGTTGTGGATACATCTGATTAAAGATAATAAAGTTCTTAGCGTGTATGTTAAGAACTTCGATAATCCGATGCTCGATCATCTGATCCTACGATTATCCATTTTTCTTTCAGATCACATTTATATTTATTACTGCTTAAGTAACCCAATTGCTGTTTTAATTTTTTGATCCTGTGTCACAAAACATCTTATTTATATTCAGTTTAATGAAATTGTTGCTTTGAATCCAAAATTCAACTGTTAGGAAAGAAATATTAAACTGAAAACAAATTTTATTAATCAATATTTTTTAGAGAACAGGAGTATGGAATTTTAATAAACTTTATTATTCTCGCAAATCGTTTAGAGTAATTTTACTCATACTTTATTTACAATACCGATTTCAAAAAGTTCCCCAATAATCCGAAAATTTCACTTCTCTGTCATAGTCCTGATCCCAAGGGTGTCTGGTATTTGGACACCTTGGTGTTTATTTGTTAGAATGTTTATTCACTTCCCTTAAAACCATAAACTCTTCTATTTATATAAATAAAAATTTTTTTACAGTTTCAACATTAAATTCTTGTATTGTTAAATTTTGTTTGAATTCCTTGCAGTGAGCTGAGGGAAGTGTTCCATGAGTGTCGCAAAAGATTGACAGCTGCAGGAAAAGATGAACTGTGTGATAACCTGATTAGTGCATCCATTTTCCTAAGATTTCTCTGTCCAGCAATTTTATCCCCCAGTCTTTTCAACCTCTCACAAGAGTATCCTCAGGGTAAATCTGCAAGAAATTTGACATTGGTCGCTAAAACTGTACAAACTTTAGCCAACTTCACCAGGTATGAAAATTTCTATAGTTACTTAACAAGTAGAACTATTTATTTGTAAATGAACATTTTTTCTTAGTTATTGCTATTCTCTTATATGTATAAAGCCAATATAATTATAGGTTCTGTCAGCAATTTAGGTAAAAAGAACTAGATTATGTTTATGATGCAATGTTTCAATGTGTTTTTTTTTTTTTTTTTTTTTTTTTTTTTTTTTTTTAAAGTAGAAAAAAATATATATTTTCAGTGGTACTGTTAAAATCAGAATAGTTTTTTCACTCTGTTAAGAAGTTTAGTGTCATTTGATGCCAAGAATGGTAGCAGCTATTTCACATTAAAAGTGATGCTGATAAGCACAGGTTCAAACCAATATTCTACTATAGAACTATGGTTCTACTATATTTGGGATTGTGTACAAACCAGCAACCCTTTGGGTTTTTTTTTAACATTTTAAAAGATTTTACTATTAGTAAACTCTTTAGGTATAAATATGAAAGTTTTCAAAAAATTCTTAATATCCTTAAGTTTAACAATTAATTAGTAATTTAGAAAAGATCAAATATAATAAACACATTAATTTTTATTTTTTTATAAGTAATTAACACAAACCATAGTTATTATTAATTGCTCTTCGTGTTATGAACTGTTACTTATTACACTATAAATTTTATAATTGTATGTTACCTAAATTTAAAATAAACTTTATTCCTATTTATTCTGTGCCAATTTCTAAAAACATTAACTGTCCTGGCAATAGTTGTTTATTTCAATAAAATGATTAAGCTCTGAATTCATTCTTAATCATGAGTTTCCCATCATACAGAGTTCAATTGTTTTCTGAGTTGAGTTCAAAGTGATTAAAATTAGAACTAAATTGTCACCTAGTGAATAAGTTTTTCTTAGCATTAATATATATATATATATATAAATATAAATTTTTATTCATTTACAAAATTATTAAAGTTGTAAGTAGCTGTCTTTTAGAGAGAAAAAAATTCTTTTAAATTTGCAGGTTTGGTGGTAAAGAAAGCTTTATGGAGTTCATGAATGGCTTTGTTGAAAAGGAATGGAGTACAATGAAGGCATTTCTGCGTCAGATTTCTGTAAGCTTAGTCATTTTTATAAATATTGAAATATATTTGTGTTAAATAATAGTATTATTTTAAAGAAGAATTTCAAAAAATCATTCATTTCTTTACTGTTTAATCAATCAATTATTTTTAAAGAGTTACAATTTTAAAAGAATCTATTTTTAAGCTCCAGACTAGAAATATAGGTATGAGGCAACGATTTTATGCATTATTAATTGGAAAGGACTAATATGATAATACGATTATAAATTCATATTTCAATTTTGTTTTTTAGCGACCATGTAAATTGTAGTTCGAAAATATGCTTACCTATCAGTTTAAGTTCTTATTCATTCTTTTAACTTTTAGAGTCCTCCCACCAAAGAGTTCAATAAAAGAAATGAATTTGATGGATATATAGATATTGGTAAAGAAATGGCTATTTTGCACAATTTGCTGACAGAAAATTTACCTAGAGTAAATCAAAAAGTATGTATTTTCAATTCTATCTCTTAATATTTTACTCATATTTATCATTTAATATTAATGATAATTTTCACTTTTAGTGCTATTACGACCATCTCGATACTCTGAAGCAGATACTCGACGGAATATCTGCTGCTTTGGGACGTACTCCGATGGCGAAAATGTCACTAACCCCATCATCTAGCACCAGCAGCACACACACAGACCACAACAGCAACTCCATAAACAACGAAAACATATCTCTGAAACTTAGTGATCATTCCAATATGAAAAATGTTCATCGGGAGATAGTACAAACGTATGTTATGAATTCTGTCCGTACAGTGAATGTTGATACAGATTACCATTCCTTGACCACTGTCAATCAGAAGATGACACCTGTGACGCATGCAAATAGACCTTCGACTTTACCTCGGTAAGATTTTTGAAATCTTTTTATATTTTAATGAATTTTAAGGCATAAAATTTTTTTCTAGTTATGTGTATAAAGCATTTATTAACTTTACTTTTGATTATTGCTAAGCTATATGTATATATGCTAGCAAATCATTGGTTCCCATGAATTCTCTGACTTGCGAGCTGTAGTGTGTTGTGCTGTTGTCTTGACTTATTAATATCTTATTATTATTAAGATAATGATATTAGAATTACATACATATATAAATGGATAAACCTAAACTGTATTCATGAAATGTTATAGTAAATACTTTCAAAAAGGATAGGTTATGGCCTCTTAAAAAAATTCAGATTAGATATTAAAAGGGGGTTTGTGTTGAAATTTGTAATACTTTATGAGGTATTGCATGACTGGTACAGAATATATTCTTGATAAATATTTTAAATATACCTCATAATTTATTAAATAAATATGAGTCAATAATTGAGGAATCACAGGATTTTTTTTGAGATGCACCGATATGTTAGTATTTCTCTAATTAGAAAAATAAAATAAAAAGTAATAGGATTTAATATTATTTTACCGTGAAATCAGCACAAATACCTCTTTGTTAATACGTCTCAGTTTACCAGCTTTAATGAGTATAGTTGGACTATTTTCTTTCCCATCATGAATAAATAACTAACCCATAATCTTTTTAATATACTTAATAATTTTACGAATTGCCCTAAACTTGTTCCAAAAAATACATTTTTGTTATAAAGAAGAAAAATTCGTAAATTTAGTAAGTTTGCATCCTTCCTAAGTTTTCACAGTACTTTAAAAATATATGTATAATTAGAATGTAAAGTAGAGTACAAGTATTTCTCCCTATGATTCTATAACAAGGGAAAATTGTTTCGCTAGACAACTTATGAATTGGCTACCAAACATCCGAATACATCAGTAACATGTAACTCTCTTCTTATCAGGATAATTTATGTTTGTAAACAATTATATATTCAATTGTTCATGCATGTAAGATTTGTTATTGTACAAATAGGGCAGCATATAATGCACTAGGTGTCCCAAAAATGATTAACAATATGAAAAATTAATTAAAAATTGAAATCGATAGAAATGTTGGAGTTGCTGCCTTCTTTTGGAAAACCTAAAGTATCTTTTCACCAAATATAATTAGGTATAAAGTTTGCCTGACAAATGATCTACAACCTTTGGGGCAACTATGTGATTTATCCTTAGGACAAAACTAACTGATACCCTTGCAGTTGGAATGATCTGACGTGTAGCAGGAAACTTTTTTTTTTTTTTAATAATTAGCAATGTAATTTATTGAAAAATTTTGAAATTTGGCTAGAATAACTACCTAGTTTCCTGCACGGAATGCAAGAAATTGTTGGTCATTTTTAAGGCACTCCGTATTTGAATAAATAACTTTTAAAACTAATTTCCCTAATAGTTATTTTAATTTATTTTCTTATTTCAGCAATGCCTACTTACTAGGTAGTGGAAAGAGGGCGGCTTCTGACCTAACAACATCAGATGACTATGTTTTGTGCAGTGCATTTGATGCTGACAAGGGTCTCATATTGACTGGTAACCCAGAGAGCTCTCGAACGCACAACTCTGAACCGGTTTCTCCTCGTTTTACCAAATCCTGCATTTATGGTGAGATCAAAAGTTCTGACGAATTCTCCACACCTAATCATCGACACCATCAAAAGCCTGTGGATTCTCCAACGATGAACAACCCGAATCATGGCATTATACTCTCTAATGCCAATATTAATGGTACCAACACAGCCTCCAGAATGCCGAGCAGAGTGCGGGACAAGGAACCTGCTAAACGAAGTGTATCTTGTAATGGACAGAGTAATGAAGACACTGTGAATACCTCTGCAGAAATGGAAGTTTCTAACCACAAAGGAAGTCAAATATCTATTAGCCAGGTAAGAATCGAACAGTTATCTGTGCAATATTTTTTTCTCATATTTGTCTCACATAATCATTTAAAACGGTTTGAGTCTAAAGTTGATTACTGTTCATCCACCGTTCGCCTTGATGTGAGGATGGTTATTGGCACAAAGTGGTTGGTATCATGAAACCAGGTGGTAAAATTATGGTAAGACTCCATTTATATGGAAAAACTGTAGTTCAAATGGATCATTGCCATAATTTGGCTTTCGATTTTTTTTTATGGTGAACGGACAGTTAATCGTTGAAAAATTGACCTTACTGAGAAACTTAGGCAATTCTCTAATAAATAAAAGTATTTTAAAAACATACTTGGCAAATGTATGATAGTTTTGTGTTTCTAAATCAGTTTTAAAAATTATGTAATGGTTTGAATTGTATATTTTTCATTATAAATATTTTGTGATAAACACTTTAATGTTTAGCATATTTACATTTGCCAAAAACTTTTCAAAAAATGTGAGTTCTAAATATTTTATTGCAAATTTCATATGTAAACATATTTACTTCTGCCAAAAACTTTTAAAAGGGGAAATTTTCCTTACCAAATTAATTAAAATTTTTGAATTTATTATTTTACAATCTTAACTTCTCTTTTGGTTCTTCAGAATGATGTCAATAATATAACGATAGCTTGAAGCAGTTTAAGTAATTTTTTTACCTACAATTATATTATTCTAAAGCAGATGAATATCAGTGCAATGTCTGGTATAAGTGCAAAAAGAAATTGTAAATTATAAATTGGAAAATCTAAAACAGCAGTATAAGATTTGCATGAAAGGTTAAAATGGTTTTTTTTTTTTTTTTNGTTTTTTTTTTTTTTTTTTTTTTATTCCTTGCTCTTTTTTCACAAATGTTTCACACTTTAATTTAAATTCATTTAAATAAATCTTTATTTGTAGAATTTTGATTATAAGAATAGTCTTATTTTTTTAAAGAAAATAAGTTCAATTTATTTTTTGTTTAAATTTATTTAGGCTAATTTTATTTTTCTTCATATTTTGCTATTTATATTTCATACAGCTATTTTTATATTGCAAATAACTATTATATTGCCCCATAAATAAATACAACTAAAGTTGTTATTTTAAAAATGCTTGCTCAAGTGCTTAATGATATTTAAATTGAAAACTTTTAATTGGATATATTTTTTTATTTTAGCTGTCGAATGTTGCTTCCTCTGGGTACCAGTCATTTCCATATAGTCAATCAAGTTCTCCAGTGGATCCTGAGCTTCAACCAGATAAGTCTTCTCAAAATCCACCTTTGGCTTTCAACAATCCTATGTATCATTTCCAAACTCCAAATGGTGCAATAACATGGGATCGGTGCAATCGCCAAATTAGGAAACACCTTCGTCTATCTCAGCTCAATTCTTTCAGCAGTCTCAGTGCTGAAGATATATCAGTCTTTGGACCAAACTCATTAGGTATTTAATTATTTAATACTTTTTATGCATAGCTATTTGTACAAGGTTATTAGGCATCAAAAGCTGACACATAATTAAAAAATATATATTTGCTTCATTATAGAAGCCTTTAACAAAGAAATAGAACATATATATATATTTATATAAGAAATTTTTATGAAAAAAAAAAAAATTTTTTTTTTTAAATCAGACTATTCTTGATTATTAAAAATTGTCCAATTTTTTATTGTTTTTTGAAAGCTAATCTCTGAAACATTGTAACATTTTTACTTTCAATTATCTGGAAAAGATGATTTTAATTAAAACAGGGCTCCACGAGTCAGAGAAAACCTGGAATTGTCAGAGAATTTTATTTTCACTCTAAAATGCAGGGAATAGTCAGAGAAAGTTCCTGGAAAATTCCTGTATTATACCTGGAAAATAACCAGTCTTAGAATTGTCAATAACAGTAATCAGTTATTGAGATTAGAATGAAATGAAATTTGTTGAAGAGTTTATCAAGAAAACTTTCATAAAATTTCTTTATGTATTTAATTATAGATATACAAAAATGAAAATAAAAAAAAACTCTTAATAAATTGGTCATTCATTATTAGTATCTAAAAAATAATTTACACATATTGAAGCTCATTTTTTAGTATCATTAATTTTTGCTGTATTGCCTATTTAAATTAATTTACCAAATAATGTGAATTAGTTTTGTTGACTTAAATGAATTAGAACAGGCAACTTGATTTGGCCCTGTAAAAATATATTTTGTATTTTTTTATTTTTTTTAATATCACCTGTGCTTAACTGAAATGAAAATCATCTGCAAATTTAGTAATAAACAATGTTACATTTTGTATAAAGTATTTCAATTACCATTTAATTCAAAATGCTGTAGCTGATTAAAACTATTAACTACTTAATGAGATAATATTGAATAATGTATCATACTAAACATAAATAGTTAAAATCATTTATTTTTTCAACAGATTACACTGCAAATAATTTTTCGTTAAATTGTTGTAAAGCTGTGATTTGTATTCTGTGTGCAGTCTTTTATTTATATGAATTTAACTTTACGATATGACTTCAGTAATCAAAGTTAAAAATTTTAGAATTACTCGGGCATTGCGCTATGGACCATTATTTTGTTTCGGTACTAGTACTAATTTTAACGCTAGCAAACTTTCAAGCATCATGTTACAAAATTTAATAATATAATAATGATTTAATGATATAAATAAGAAAATTATTTATAACTTGTATGTAGTTGTTACTATTAAAATGTATTTGATAATAAATTTACTTACTTATTTCAGCCAATGCTGATTCATCTCTCACAATGTCAGTTGATGGATGTCACTGTCCATCAAGTTCATCTTCATCAGACACTGCTAGTTGCAATTCCACCCCTCCTTGTGAAAGACGTAGCCTTTTTAAATCCACAGCCCCTCGCACCAACCCTAGATACTCAGGAGGATCTCATTTATGTTGCAGTGCAACTATAGCATGCTCTCCAAGGTTAGCCACGAGAGCATTGTCGCATCCTACTAGATCTCTTCACTTTTATCATCACAAGCAATGCTTTTCAACCCCATCTCATTCTCATAGGAAGAAAAGAAATTTAAATTTAACATTGTCAAATCCTGACCAAGAACAAACGTAAGAATGTATAGATATTTTAAAATTGTTTATGATGCGTGTCTGCTTACTTATCTGCAGAAATTTTTTTTAAAAAATGGTTGTAAGAACATTTTATTTGTGAGAAGTGAACTATTTGCAGAGATGATTGCGCTTACAAAACAATTCGGATTGCAGTTAGCTAACCGCAACTATTTGTAGAGATGATTGTACTCCGAAAACAAGCCAGATTTTTCGCTATCCGGAAATCCAAGGTCTTGAAGTTTCAAGAAATCATCGATCACATTTATGTATACAGATTCTTTTATTCAAAAATATTAGAACTATAATTTATACTTAGCATCTCCTTCATTTGTAAATATTTTTTCTGGTAGAATAATAAATGTGATTAGAGATAAAAGTAAACTTATACATAAATATTATGTTAAAGATGTTAATTTTTTGAAATGTGTCATTAATAATTTTATCTAGAAATTTTCAGGATTTTTAAATTAGGCTCGCAATCACCTCTGTATTTGTGACTATTATTAATTATCGAGGATTATTGCATCTATCTGTTTGAAAAAAATTCCACAAGTCTATATGCAAGTTGCATTCAAGAAAAAATGTTAAGTAATCACAGTTAGTTACTTATATCCAAAAAAAAAAAAATAGAAATGAAATGTTCTTACTACTATTTCCTCTTTCTTTTTTGTTTCATTTTATTTAAAGTTTGCATTGCATTAAATAATTTATTTATTTGACTCTAGAATTATCTGTATTTAATTACGCAATGCAATAATTAAAATGTTATTATCAATCTCCAATAACACACTTTAAATTTCTCATGGGGAAAAAAGCTATCTCAAATGTGAATAAACTTTCCATGAATATTATTATTTATTTGCTTTTGCTTTATTAATGAGATCTTTTATCTTAGCTTGTGTTTTATCTTTTAGATTTTCAAAGTGTGAGTTTCTTATTAAACTCGTGTGCTAATTGAAATTTTATTTAAAAATTTCAAAACTTAAGAGTTGTAAAGATAAATTAATTTTCCTTCCTTATTTTTAAATTTTTATGTTTAAAAATTAAATATTAATGCAAAATATTAATGTCCTTTGGGTTGAGGATGCATTCACAGCTAGAAAGTGAAAATAAATGTCACTTTCTGTCATTACAAACACCAACTGATTCCTTTATAACCTTTATGAAATGTGAAAGATTTCAAAATGTGTTTTGTTGACGCTTATTTTATTTTCCAGGACAAATATGACTGAAGTTGACAATAGAATTACACACCCTAGTACCCCTGTTAATGATAACTCAAAGTCTGAAAACAATAATGGAAAAACAATGGAAGATGTAAGTAATATACCACTTTTTGTTTTTCTAAAATCAAAGTGAAATAAGTCCATTTAGAATGTTATATGAGTCTAAGGCTTTTAAGGGTTATTGTTTGAATGAATTATACAAATAATTAGTAAGACCCCGTCATTATAATATTAAAGTAAATTAAGTGTGGCCTCTCGTTTTATATGACTTTTTTTTATGTGACTTTTCGATTTTCTTCGCAAAATTTCCTGTTTCTGAAATTTTTAGTAAAATATTATGATTTTTAAAAAAATTGAACTAATTAAAACATTTAGTTTTTAATGAAGATTTCGAGGTGTTTTGTAATTATTGTTCTAATTTTTTTTTATGTTTATTTGATTTAATAACCATTCAAGGCCTGTTATATTCTGATCTCACTTTCCAAGTAATTGTGATATATAAATCTCATTTAAATTATTATAAATTTCATTAATATATGAATATAATTCAGAAACATATTTAGATGTTTTGTAAAACAATTTTTTATTTGCAAAATTAAAGTAAAGTAAATAGTAAATTTGAACATTTGTTTGTGCAACTTATAATGTGTGCAAATATCAATATTTTCAAATTATTTTTTTAATTATTTGTATATCATTTGACTTCATTTGTAGAAATTCTTCCATTTATTACAGTATGAGAAAGAAATTGAAAAGCTTCAGGAATCTATGTCTGAACTTCAATCAAAACTTCAAGACGCTGAAGACAAATTGTCCAAACAAGAATCTGCTACAGAAAAAGTGGTGGCTGATTGGCAGGCAAGGCTTGAAGCCGGAGAAGAAAGGATACGCCGGCAACAAGATGAAAAAGACCAGCAGATGAAAAATATTATTACAAGGTATTTCATTGCATTTCTTTTCTTTCTTAAATCTTTATGTATCTATCAACTGTTTATCAGTATTAATATAATAGTTATTAGGACTATGTTATTCAAAAACTCTGACTTCCCATCATTCAAATAATAAAAAAGATGCTAATAATTTTTTTTTAGTAGAAGTAACTGAAACACATTTTGATATAAATTTAAATTAATCATTCTATATGAATAGAAATCATTTTAAATAAACCATCTATAGTTCGTTTATTTCTCATATTAATACTGTGAATTGACCACTTTTTGATCAACAATTAGATGCTTAATCATAACGATCAAGAAGAAAAGGTGGTCAGTTTATCAGGTTTCATATAGAAGTATTTTGGATTACAAGGATTGTTTTCAGAATGGATATGCTCACAATGCAAGGTTCTAGTGTGTTTGTAGCTATGAATCGTTTTTTTTTTCCCCTGCTGTGGCTGTCTGTATAATGCAGTGTGGCATTACTTACTGGCTGTGTTTTTATAGAGAATATTTTTTTCTATTTTTTAATACAAAAACTGAAGGTTAAGTCTCTACGGCTTCGTTCTTAAATACACCACTATTTATAAATATGCTTTTTATGCCTTTCAATAAATTCCTCTTCAGAAAGATGGTAATCTTTCTGAGGAAAATATTGTACTTACAGCAAACTGCAAAAAGTTTATCTTAATGATTGCAAATAATAGCATGAAACTTACGTTATGTTTTGCTTAAGATTTTCTATAGTGATATTTATTCAGCCATAATATTTCTTTTAATAAATTTAAAATATTATTAAGTTTTAACATATTAATTTTGAACCCTTATACTGTTTTTAATTTTGCCTTTTTAGCTTTTTAATAAATGATAGAAAAATTGTCTGTTAAACTTGATTTCTTATATACTTTTGTTATCAGGTTAATAACAGTTGAAGAAGAGTTGCGTCGTGAACAACAGGAAATGCAAGGTGTTATATTTTCAAAGCAAAAAGTTATTGATGCTCAAGAAAGAAAAATACAGACTCTAGATACTGCAAACACAAGACTTTTAGCTGCACTGGCACAGTTAAAAGAACGCTATCAATTACGGAATGGAACTATTTCTTCATCTCCAACATCTCCTACCAAATTAGCAGTCATTGAAAATGGTGATACACGCTTTAAAAGCAGTTCATGCTGACTATTACCTGAGCACTCTTACTTGTGAGTTTTTTTTTTTTTGTTCAAACATATGACCAAATATTAGCCGCTAGTGCGTTTTTCACTTTATTTAGGGCTTCGAGAAGAAGTAAGCAAGTCATCGTGAACGGGTAAATTGTCACAACACATGTGGTCTGTTTTTACTTCCCTGTTTATTTTAAAATGCATGCCACGTATATGAACCTGAAATTGCTGCTATAAATTGATGTGCAGTAGAGCTTGTTCGTCTCAAATCTCACTATTATGCTGCAATAATATTAAAATACGAATGTCTTAATTTTTAAGTATGTATGAAAAATTTTCAATATTATTAATACACTATTTTCTTGTATCTCTATAGTATGTACCAAAAATTTACAAAAACTTTTGATTTATTTATGTCTGGAATAAAAAAGTTTTGCTGAAAATGAGAGATTTCTAAAATATAAAATGGAAATTAAAGATGTCTGGAATAAAAAAGAGATTCCTAAATTTTATGTGGTATTATTAAAAGAGATTATTAATGTCAAGAGTTAAATACAATTTTGCTGAAAATGAGAAATTTTTAAAATTATTAGACAATGTTTGTAGTCGATTTTGGAAGGGGGTGAGAAACAAAAGACTCATTAAAAAGAAGAAAATTTAAATTTTCACTAAGAAATACTATTAATAATATTTTTTACCACAGAAATAAGTTATGTATTATAACATACTTGCAAGGAATATTATCTTCTTTTTTTAATTCATGTGAAGAATTCTGTTTATATATTTCAATAATTTTCACAAAATTTTGCCTTAAATTTCACAACTAGGCAGAAAACTTTTCAAGTTCAAAAACAGTTTTCTCAATGAGTCTCCTATCAAACTATTATCAACTAATGTCATAATATCTACATACTTATCACAATATCTACTCTCTAATTCTATTTTTTTTTCTTTAATAAGCTGTAAAATAGCCATGATATATCTCCCTCTTAACTTTTTCACAGATATACTGATTAAAAAATTATTTCATTCTGAGATATATAGATTTGAATTGGCAAGCTCTACTTCAATTCTACTTATTGAATTCTTTGTCCTTGTGAACTAGTCTTTAATTTACTACTACCAAATAGATAAAATATCTAAAGTTAGATTTTTGTTCTGTTATCATAAATTTACTAATGCTTTCAGTTTTGTTATAAAATTCTATTGTGTATTTGTACGTGCAAAGTGATTTTATTTTGTACATATCTATATAAATATATTTGTAAATAAAATATGTACACTCATTATTTTAGTATGTACATTTGTTTCATTTATGGTTGTGAAAGTTTTCCTCTGGATTTTCCCTCACAAAATTATTCTTTAAGAGTGGTATGCAACATTTATAACTTATGCTATTTTAAAAATTATTAATTTTGAACCTCTTTAACTTTTCATCATTTAATTGCATTGTAAAAAACATTGAACTTGAGCACATGCTTTAGAAAAATGTAAGTAAACGTGAGGAAAAATGTGCTAACTTTATTTTTATTTACTTCATTTTTCACATTTCAATTTGCTTTATTTAATACTACTTAAAAAGTCATCTTAAATCATATTTAAAAGTTTGACATAAACAAATCATACATCCTAATATATTCATTTCATTTGAATATTTTGTGATGATGATAGACTTAATATTGCATTTTATGTTATTTAAAAATAAGTGCTACTTTCATAAAATAAAATGTTGATCCAAAAAATTGGAACTTTATTCAAAATTTCATTATCTAGTCCTCAAATAGTTTATCGAAAAATTCGAGACTGCATTTACTTTGTATTAAAAAAAAATTTATTTCAGTGAAAAATTAATATGTAAATGCTTTGAATGTCTTCATTTGTTTTGTATTGAATACATTTGTAAATAATCATATGTCATGAGTATTAGTCATAAAAAAGAAAAGTACTATGCAAGCTCTGTATTAGTAAATGACGTACAAGCACACTTTTAATGTTCCCTCAATCTATGCAATACAGTGTACAGAATTGACTGTAAAATATTATTTGTCATACCAGTGATAACTTGTTGAATGAGAGAGATTTGATGAATGTTACTCAAACCCTTTTTTATACAAATTATTTGCATTATTGTTCAGTAAATGTAGCATATACATTAATGTATAAAATTGACATTTGAAATAAATTTTTTGAAAAATATTTTCCTCATTTTTGTTTCTTCACACTTTTTCACTACAGTACTTAATTTCTTCAAATTTTTTTGTACTTAAACTTTTAACTGTATGCATTATTAGACAGCTCAATCGGGATGCGTTGCGTTTTTTAAAGGTACTTTTTTTTCGTTTTTTAAAAGCCTTTAAAGGTGCTTTTTTTCATTGGGTGTTTTTAAAAAGTGCTTAATTTTCCCTTTTTCAAAATGATATTTTCCCTTTACTATGTTTATTTTCGCTTCGAATTTTGCAAAAAGACGCAGTTCACATTGTTCTATTCAACGTTTTCATGATTAATTCAACCCCATTCTATTTCTTCGTATAGTCAGTCCGTAACGTATGAAAACGCCATTCGTTTTACATGATTCAAAATTTCTTGATTTTTGACAATTGTCAAAAACAATGCCAAAGGGGTTTTTTTTTTCTTCTTTTTGACATGACGGTTAAAATATCTGTCTGTTTTCCTTATCTGTTTTCATAATTAATTCAACCCCATTCTATTTCTGCGTATAGTCAGTCCGTAACGTATGAAAACGCCATTCGTTTTACATGATTCAAAATTTCATGATTTTTGACAATTGTCAAAAACAATGCCAAAGGGGTTTTTTTTTCCTTCTTTTTGACATGACGGTTAAAACAAGACAAAACAGTCGATTGTCAAAAACTTTCCATCCCTGACTAATTATAATATATTTTTTAAGTGCTTAAAAATATTTATTGAGTGCTTAAAAGGTGCTTATTTTTTGTTGAATAATTTGGCTACGCACCCTGTCAATGCTTTTCGAAAAAGTAGAAAATAAAAGGGTTCATTTAGTAGATTAGATGAAAAAGCGTTTGGTAATTTTTAAATTTGTGCTTATGAGTAAGTAATTAAAACTCTACACGTTTTTTCAGCTTTTAGATTATTCAAAATCTAATTTTATTACAGTTTAAATTGATGAAGCCTATTTGGAAAACGCTAAAATATTCCTTTAACGTTAATTGTATAAAAACTAAGATACTTATCAAAAATTTTTGATTTCAGAATTGTATTTACATAATTATGTCACAAAATATTAATGGAGAATGTAAAATAGTGCACACGTTATATCTCAAATTGCAATGGGGTGCCGCCACTGTATTTTACATGTGCCGAAAGGTGCTACCAAATAGTGTCAGTTTGTTCAAATTAAAAGGCATATTTAGAATTTTCCCACCCCTTTAACAGTTTAGTCTGGGTGAATAACAGGCCTCTTCTGATTAATTAGAACATAAGATTTAATTTCCCTTATATTGGTGTCTAACAAAACTTTTTACATTACAATTAAAGTTGGCTTTTTGAATTTAGGATTAAGTAAATGTTGAGATAAAATTTTAGATTTAACAGTTATGAATACAGAACAGAAAATTGTTTAAGTTAGCTTTGGGTTAATGTTCAGTGGGTTAAACATGTTTTCCCTTGGGTTCATATATTACAAAACTCTAAGCTGACATTTGAAAACTATTAAAATTAATGTTTTTTTGAATTTTGGTCAAAGTTTCTTATTTTGGCTTAACAACTTTGACGAAAATCTGTTTTCCCATTTGTTAATAACTCAGCATTGATATCTTATATTAAAAATATGATTAACTCATTTAAGGCTAAGCAGAGAAATTTTGTAAAGTGTATTATATTTCAGTGAAATATGAATAAAGCATTTAATTAAGAACTCATAGCAGTCTCAATTTTAAAAAAATAATAACTGCATTGTTTCAAAATTGCTCGACTCCAATTGAATTATACTAATATTTTAGAGGTCTTCAAGTAGTGACTCTCAAATCAAACTCTTCCTCTATATTCAGTCAGGAAACTTTTACTAAGAAACGCTCCAATTTTGTTCCATCTTTTTTTGCTGCATTCACTTTTTAGAGATTATGGTATATTTTTATTTTGTGGAATATTTTTTTTTCCCCCTTACATATTGCATCGTATTTATCTTTCATTAACATTTTATTCAATTTTTGTTCGTAATTTCTTAACCTTCATTTAAATCTTGACACTTAGTTGTCAAAATGATTAATTTATTTATTTTAAATGAATTTTTTTATTTATTTGGTGGTTAGTTTATAACAAATTAAGTGGTGTATGTAAAGGCTAACATTAGATTTCAAAGGTCAATTTATTTCATAAATTAGTTCTCTCTACGGTTTCTATAATCGTTATATTTATTACAAAATAACTATTATTAAAAAAAAGGTGCTTAAATTTTACAAAAGCAATAACTTTAAACATATAATTAAGAAAATGATACAAATTTTTTTCGGTCAACTAAGTAATAAATATACTACAACAAATAAACAATGTTGCTGGTCGACAACTGAAAATCTGCTCCGATTTAATACTTTTACATAATATATATGAAATTAAAATATTTGAGCTATTTAAAAAAGTTAAAAGTAAATTAATAAATAAAATGAAATAAAATAATTTAAAATCAGTGTTATGGTCATTGAAATTGAGTTGCAATGAAATTTAACATTAGGATAAAGTTTAAAAGTAAACTATTTTTTCTTATATAAATGCAGACCTACACGCTTGTAAATTTGCACTTGAACATCGGATTTTGATTTGAAGATTGACTGTAAGAAAAGATTAGTCGCAAATGATATTATTATTTTTTTTTTTTTGTATATATATTCTAAAACGATAGTCATATAAAAAAAATTACGAAACGAAGATAAAAACAGAGTAAAAGATATTGAAAATCAATGTTCAAAATTAACACCTTTCAAAAAACAAATATTTTTAAATTATATTAAAAACTTAGAACTTAAACAAAAGTTTTTTTTTTTTTTCAAAAATCCAATATTTTTTAAATATTATTAAAACATATTCAAATATTATAAAATATTCAATCAGTATTACTCCTTCTGAAAGTTATGTTTTTGGGACGAATTAAATCTTTAATTATAAAAGAAAAGAAATATGGAGATCTGAAACCCACAATATATTCATCCTCTTTAAAATTCTCCCAAAATTTTCATAAACACCATTACAGAAATCATGCTTTAGCTAAATGTAAAGAATATCACTTAGAAATGAAAGAGTATATACTGCTCTAAACGCAACTTCCATTACGTACTCAAAGAAAAGAAGTTAAAAACTAAATGCAGTGTTAAAATAATAGAGAAATCAAGCAAAATAAAAAGAAACAAATAGCTAATGCTACTTGGGCTCGTGAGACACGTGTCTATCTGAAAAAGGTAAACCCTACGATAGATAAAAGTACTTCAATAGATGCAGGGACCGATCCAGGCAAATTCAGGCCCAAGGCCTCACCAAATTTTCCGGGTCCCTTACAAAATGTTTTGAAATCAAATTACTGAAGAGTAATCATAGCAATGAAAAAGAATCTATTGAACTGCATGATTCAAGAGACACATTCTAAGAAATTTTGAAAGCAGACACATGAATATTAATTTTCTAAGATAAAGTTTACGTATTTATAAATTAAAGCAAAATATAAAACAACAAAACAATGTTATGTCAAAATAAAAATAGTTTGGCGACACAAACAGTTGAAATCAGTGATTTTTGCTAAAAGTCACTAAATAGCTGAATTATTTTTATTGTAAGCTGTAATAATTTTTTTTATTTAGTACTTAAACCAATCCAAAGCTAGCACATCTTTCATTAGACTTTTTACTAATTTTTGAGCCCCCCTAGAAATTGTGGGTCGACAACTACACAACAGAAAAAAATTCAAAATAAAAAATAATATTTTTAAAAACCACGTTTTTGTAGTGGAGAATAATAATTAAAAAAAAATTGAAAAACAAAAAACGTGGGGCGCATGAAATACATAAGAGTAATGTTATATTAGTGTGTGTATGTGTGCTCTTGAGAATATGTGTATGTATATCTGTAATTGTAATTGTATCTGAATGTGGATGTGGAATATGTTTGTGTATATGCATATGTATGTGGATGTATATGTGGCTGTGCATGTGTATGAGTAAGAAAATGTGTATATGTATGTGTATATGTACTGTTATGTATTTCATGCGCCCCACGTTTTTCGTTTTTCAATTTTTTTTTAATTATTATTCTCCACTACAAAAACGTGGTTTTTAAAAATATTATTTTTTATTTTGAATTTTTTTATTTTAAATTATAATTTTTTTAATTTTTATTTTATATTTTTTAAAAATTATTACTTTTTAATTATTATTCTTCACTACAAAAAACGTGGTTTTTAAAAATATATATTTTTATTTAGATTATTTTTCTTAGTCAAGAGTAGTCAAGACTACTACAAGACCACTTCTAAAATAATAGAACTTTCGTTTTAACATAGGGATACAAAAATCTTACAATACCTTTACGACTTTCATTAGTTTTATGCTGATGACAACCAAAAAAATCTGGAAATGAATGAGGAAAAACTGGATCCTATCACGGGATTTTTCAGCCAATAAAAATACTCCGTCAATAAAAATCTTTTCACCTGACATGTAATACTAATTTGAAATAATGGAATCGACAACAAAAGACAATCTCGAAAATAATATTTTTTTTAAAATTTTAATTTTATTTTACTTTGTATGTCTTTTTTCTCTTCATTTTCATGCACATCCAATCCTGAACTATGTGCCAAATTTGAAGTTTGTAGCTAGTCGGGAAGTTAGTTTAAAACTGATTACAAAATTCCACCCGGACAGACATACACGAAGGCAAGTTTATATAAACGTGGTAATAAAATGGAGCGCTCATTTCAAGAATGCGACAAATCAGAACTTATCAAGAAATAATAAAAGATTATTTAATGGGTATGTAATTATATTTTATTCAAAGTAGTGAGTTTCTGCCTTTTTGTATCTCCTTAATATTGAATGATCATCTTTTTTAATTGATTGATGAACGTTGAATAAATGAAGAGCTTTGCAAGAATCAATATTCAGTTTCTTTCCTATTATCTTTATTTGATGTTAAATCTATAATGACTGGTGATTAAGACGTTAAAATGGAAC